TTAAAAAGAGCCATTTTGTCCTTTCAACAAAAACTTTGCAGACTTACTTTGCTCTGCTTTAAGCTTTAGCTCAGCTTTTCTCGCATCTCCAGCAGGAAACTTTTCCTCAAAAGTAGAACAGTTTCTTGTAAAACGTCTCTCAACGTTCGACTTTTTACGAGGCTGAAGTCGCTTCTCATTCGCCAGCTTCTTGTTTGAATTTCCCCATTTCACCTTAAATGGTGTCTGAGGCACCAGAATGTAAATGCTGCACCATTTAAGGTGGAACGGGACAATTCGAATGAGAAACTGACTTCAGCTTCGGACTTTTTAGTGTTCGACAGTTTCTTGTTGCAGATTAAACGGATCAGGAAACCAGCTGGAGTGACTATAAAGGCAAATAAGTCCATTTGACAAATTGTCGATTTTCGTCTTGAGTTCGTCTTTTTTCTTTTCCGTTTCTTTTCCGATTACTGTCTGCGTTGCTATGGTCTGTGTGAATTAGCGGTTCTACATTAACTCCAGCGTTTTAGACCATTTATTGTTAAACTGTGTTGAACGATCAGCAGAGCTTTATTTTACTGTAAAGGAGGATTATTTTATTTTTACCTACAGATCTATTTCTGCTGTGGAGCCACAACAGGGCAGTAAAAGAGCTGCATGCTGCCGACCCCTGAACCAGTGCATGCACTCTCTGCTGTTCTCTGCTCTTGTGCTCGTCAAACAGTCTCAGTCTCTCTCGCTCTCTCTGATAAGAATGCACAATCGAGCTGGGATGAAATGTGAAATGTTAACTTGATAAGGTTCAGGGCTGGTTAAAAAGCCCAGGCCATGCGACGCCCCTGATTTAAGCTAAGATTAAGCTTTTCTCAGGGAGTCTGGGATTTCCACCCTCATCCCTGACCCACCATATCTGCTGCCACACAAGTCAGTAATGAACTATGTCTGATTTTCAGTATGGTCCCAAGTCTCTGAGCCCTCTATGAGCTTCGCCCAGGGCAAATGGAGATGGGCTATAATGGAGATGGCCTTTATCCACCTGGGAAAAGGAAGTGCAGAAAAACGAACTGCCTTCCCAAAGACCTGCGACGACCAGAGACGAGCACTCAAGCCTTAATTGCCTGAAGTGGTCCACATAAACACACTCGAAGGCCAAGGTCAGGCATGAGGGGTGAACCTGCATGGAAGTAATCCATCAAATCCTTAACCATGCACTCCGCTGCTGACCACGGTGAACCATCATGCACTAAAGACCTTCACACGCTCTCTGCAGAGGCTGGGAGGAACCAAACGTGAAGGTTAAGGGAGTGGAAGCAGGAAGAGCACTAAAGATTTCCACACTCGGTGCTTCACATACACAAGCCTGGGACTGTTTTTCATGCTGTTTAATAGAAGAAACAATATTTGTTTTTTGATTTCTGCTCTTTTTGTTCTTTGAGCTCTTTTACATGAGCACCCCCTGGCCACTTTATCAGAAACACCTACATTGTAGTTCCACTGTGCTGGTGTGCAGTTAGAGACAATAGCCCATCTGCACCATCTGTGTGCACAGTCTGTGTTAGCCATCTTCTAGCCCTTCATCAGTGGTCAGTTTCTCACCACAGAGCTGCTCTTGGCTAGATGTTTTTGGGTGGCGGACCTTTCAACTTAGCAGTGACGCAAGAGTGGCAGAGTTGAAGCACAAGGCAGGCGTTTCTGATAAAGTGGACACTGAGTGGACACGAAAGGTAGCTGTTTCTAATATAGTGGCCAGTGAGTGGAAGCACAGGGTTGGTGTTTCAAATAAAGTGGCCAGTGAGTGGAAGCACAAGGTAGGCGTTTCTAATAAAGTGGCCAATGAGTGGAAGCACAAGGTAGGCGTTTCTGATAAAGTGGACACTGAGTGGACACGAAAGGTAGCTGTTTCTAATAAAGTGGCCAGTGAGTAGAAAACAAAAGGTAAGTGTTTCTAATGAAGTGGCCAGTTAGTGGAAGCACAGGGTTGGTGTTTCTAATAAAGTGGCCAGTGAATGGAAGCACAAGGTAGGTGTTTCTAATAAAGTGGCCACTGCTGTATTAAAATTAGGAATGAAGAAATCTGAGCTTTTTGAATGTCTTGTGAAACTCAGCACTGAATAATGGTGTTTAGATGATTCCAGTCAGGTTAATGTTCTGCTATTCATAGGTTGAGTAATTTTAGAACAAAAGTAATGTGTGGCCTCGTTTCACAGCAGCAGCCGTCCTCGAGAGAAAGGAAAGAAACTCATCCAGCTGGGTTTTAGTTTTCGAACTGAAATAAATCCTGAAAGCCCAAAGCCATTTCCAGCTCTCAGGAACTGAACGTGAGCGGATGGTCAAAGCGTCTGAAAATAGCCCCGTAAAAAAGGTGGCCTGGAGTCAGCGGCCTCTGAACCGTACAGCTGCTAAACGAGGGTCAGCGTGGAGGTTTGTGAGGCCATGCAATTAACTCGAGGTCATTTATTGGAGCGCTCAGACGCTTAAACTCGTCGAGTGAACTAAACAGTCCTTTTCAGGTTCTGAACCCACGACTCAATGAGAGTCTACACTACATTAATGCAACACGTCCAGTTCACTGTAACAGCTCACACTTACAGAGGTTTTCAGCTAATCGTGAGTTAATGCTGTAAAGGTGAACTAACACGCTAACCACAAACTTTTAATAGAACCATAACCTGATGTGGTGAAGATGAACTAACAAGCCACCCTTTAATTAATATGCTACCTGCAAACTAACGAAGTAAAGATGAACTGACAAGCTAACCGCTAACTAATAAGCTAACTGCTAACTAACGCAGCTCTGTGAGCTGACAGGCTAACTGCGACCCTCCGATGATAAAATCACTGTAACGCTCACGCGGCTTATTGCTTTAATAATCACGAAGGCTTTACAGGACAGTAAAGAGCTCAGGATGTGATGAAGAGAAGAAAAACAGGAAAATCGTGATTAATTTCTCTGGAAAAAAAAAGATTTATTCATCTCGTCTGCAAACACGACTGAGGCGATCCAGGACAATACAAAGGAACCGAGACAAAAGGGAATAACAAGAAAAAGACAAATAAAGAAATATTCCAGACTTTTTCTGCGAAACAAGTAAACTTCACACCAGTTAAACTCTTCAGCAGGGATTAACGAGAAATAAAGTTCTTAAGCACCTCAATATATTTAGAATTTCAACATTAAGTATTTATTACCTTATTAAATCTGAAAAGCTCGTCTGGAAGAAAAGAAGAACAAAATAAAATAAATAAACTGAAACACTGGCTGGAGAACGAAAGACGGAGGAGAAAGGGAAAGTTTTCCTTTCTGTCTTTCTGAGATCAGTTCATACCTTTGTTTATAAAGATTAATAATGAAGGATTTGATTGGAGGAGCTGATCTCAGACCAGCGGAGAGAACAGGAATTCAACTCAGATATGAATCAAATATGTGAAGAAAACTGCATAGAAATCTGTTTAAACATACAGCCACATATACATACAATTGAAGGGGAATACAACCAAATTTTCAAAATTCCTTTATAATTCTGTTTACATCTCACAAGGCAATTTTGAAAACTTCGTGGAATTGCCCTCTAAGGGCACAAACACAACACCTGCACATATAAAGATACACAACACACACAGACACACTAAACTGAACGAGTGAACACAGCTATAAATACAAAAACACTGATCTTGCATACACACACACACACACACACGCACACACCAATCAATCACAATCAATTGATTAATCAATCACTGCAGCTCCACAAGGGCACAGAGGAACACACTGAAGAGCATTCAATAATATATACAGAGAGAGAGAGAGAGAAAGAGAGAGAAGGGAGAGAGAAAGAGAAAAGAGAAAGAGGAACAAATAAGAAACAGGGGGAAAGAGAATGAGAGAGGAGAGAGTGAGGGGGAGGGAGAAGAGAGCGAGGGAGGGAGGGGGAGAGGGAGAAGAGAGCGAGGGAGGGAGGTAGAGAAAGACTAAAGTGAGAGAGAAAAGAGATGGACAGGAAGAGAGGGTGAGAAAAAAGGAAAAATGGAGCAATAAAACAATAAGAGACAGAGAAAGTGAGAGTGAGAGAGAATGAAAGACAAAAAGACGAGAAACCGAGCGAGAGGGAGAGGAGAAAGATGGAGATGGAAAGAGCAAAAGAGGAAGAAGAGATAGAGGAAAAAAAAAGAGAGTAAGAGCCAGACTGACCCACACAGACCCACACAGAATCACACAGACACATACGGACCCATACGGACCCATACGGACCCATACGGACCCACACAGACACATACAGACACATACGGACCCATACGGACCCATACGGACACAGACAGACCTATACAGACACAGACAGACCTATACAGACCCATACGGACCCACACAGACCCACACAGACCCATAATCTGCAAAATGTACATTTTATAAGGCACAGATAAATAATATACAAAACAGAGGACTTAGATTTTTACAAAATAAGAGTCCTGGCACTGAAACATTTGGATTCTTACAAAATACTTTGGATTTTTACAAAATACATACTTAAACATTAACATGCTGAATTTGCATAGTTCACAATCAAGCAAGTTTAATGGCTTATAAAAAGAGACGGCTGTGTTAGAGCAGGTAAAACCGGACGCTTTGCATAGCCACGCCCACCTGGGAGTGGACAACTTTTATTCTTAGCTGACCTGTCCATGCTCCGTGATGTTTCATAGCTACTGTTGTGAGGTTGGACAAGTTTTATAGAACAGAAATGCAGTTCAGCCTAATGAGAAACTGTAGAACAGACTCAGTTTATATCACAATACCTACATTTAGAGTCGGTTATTCATTCAGCCTAATGAGAAACTGTAGAACAGACTCAGTTTATATCACAATACCTACATTTAGAGTCGGTTATTCATTCAGCCTAATGAGAAACTGTAGAACAGACTCAGTTTATATCACAATACCTACATTTAGAGTCGGTTATTCATTCAGCCTAATGAGAAACTGTAGAACAGACTCAGTTTATATCACAATACCTACATTTAGAGTCAGTTATTCATTCAGCCTAATGAGAAACTGTAGAACAGACTCAGTTTATATCACAATACCTACATTTAGAGTCGGTTATTCATATGAATCTATATTAATTTTGTATGTGCACCATGTCAGGGTACTTTAGGTAGTCTTTTGGCGTGCAATCATAAATATCTGATTTACGGTCTAAACAGAAAGGCTTTAGCTGTTATAGCTAGCTAGCTAACACTGTTAGCTTATTAGCCTTGCTAGTTTACTAGCTAGCGCAGGCTATAAGCACCCAACCTCACAACAGTAGCTACCAAAGAACAGATTTGTGGGCGGAGCCTGAAGAGGGAGCTTTTATTTTGGATTATAAACGTAGCGACCAGCATAAAAATAAGTGCTAAGTCACTACAGGTCGGCCTGAGTGAATCAAAGGTCATTTGGCTTCGAGATCCTCACAGTTTTAGAAGAACATTCATGCAAACATGCAAAACAGAGAGTTTCGCTTTAACTTCCTTAAGTCACGAACAGATAAACAGAAGGACGGTTCAGAACGTTCATCCACACGACAACAAACACTGACTGAAAGCAAACATCTAACAAATAGTATAGTTGTTATAGCAGGACGTCGCGCTACTTGGAGGCTAATTGTTTACATTTACGGTTCTTCATTCAAACATGCTAATGTTGCTAACAATGAATGAAGGCGAATAGCTAACGATTAGCCTTTCAAAAATAACATGATGTCCTGCTACTCAGTGGCCAATTGCTTACATTCACTGTTGGCAGCATCATAAAGTTCTTCATTCAAACAAACGTTGCTAATATTGTGTAAAAGTGTATAAATAACACTTGTGATCGTGAAAATTACATGCTACTTGTTGGCTAACGACTTTTACTGTTGGAGACATTAGCATGTGCGTCATTTAAACGCGTTCCTGTTGCTAATAACGAAAGAAAGCGTATAGCTAACAATTAGCATCATGAAAATAACATGGCTTCATGCTAATTGGCTAACGCTCATGGTCAGCAATACTGAAAGTATTGGAGGAAACAGTTCAACGCTCAACCCGGCGTCTGTTTATGGAAAAAGTCCCTCCCTTCGACAAAAAGAGCCAATCAGACTGTTGACTCCGGCGAGCGCGGTTCATTTCATGGTGTTAACTGTAAGCTATTCACTTTTGCTAATTATTAGCAACATTAGCATGTTTCAATTACAAACAATGAATGCAAGCAGTCACCAAGTAGCACCATGTTATTTTCATGATACTAACTGTTACCCATTTGCTTCTCTATTAGCAACATTAGCATGTTTGATTGAAGAAAATGATAGTGTTATGAACGAATGTTAGCAATTAGCCACCAAATAGAGTAATAAATGATCAAATTATAATAAGTCGCTCTAGATAAGAGCATTAGCATGTGTGGTTGGGCTATTTCCTGGGAGTCTCTGCACGCAAACACACACACACACACACACACACACACACACACACACACACACCACACACACACACACACCCACACACACACCCACACCACACCCACACACACCCACACAGCTGTAGTGGAGTAGCAGGTGTGCACGTGTTCTGAATGAACCTGAAGGTTTAATGCAGTCTCAGCACATTTTCCCCTCTGCAGATACAGAACCCATTCATATCAGTCTGTACTCAATACTTCAGACCCTCTGAGGATTAATCTGGACGTTTCCATTCGCACACAAAAGAAACAAATACAAACAAACAAACAAACAAACAAACAACAGAAGCCTGTGTCCATTTGCATAAGAGTGCCAGGCCCATATATCGTCTTATAGACCTTCTTGCATATAATTCAAACTGTTTGCTCATTTACATATTCGTCCTTAGTTAAAAATCGGGTCTGCTGATTGGCTGGCTGTGATATCCTGATTAGCTGGCTGTGATATCCTGATTGGCTGGCTGTGATATCCTAAATGGTTTAAAAGCAGGAATTTCAAGAGCTTAAAAAAAAATTCCTTAATTGTGACATCATCGCACCATCCTCAGCTTCAACACTGTATCATCATGTCAATTGTGACATCACAGCATCTTCATTTATAATCACGACACTGTGACATCATCGTGTTCCGATGCTGAACCTGTACGACGTGCATGAATACAAAACTGAAACCGATTAGCATTAAGCTAAGCTGGCGCTGCTGATTTCATCATGCAGAGACGATACGAATCATTAATTTTAACACTTTTCCTTTGTAAAAAATCAAACCGTCAAAAGTTTTTGCCTTTTCTCCGAACGTGGCTGACCAGCCAAGACGCGCCTGGTGACGTCTGCTTCTTTAGTTTTAGCTCTTGATGCTAAAAACCTGTGGCTAAAATGCGTAGTGTGTTTTTAAGCTATGCAAACGTACTTCTGTCCATGTTTATAGATCACAGTGAGTCATACAGTGTCAGAAACCACATAATCAGGTCTATTAGAGATACTGAACAACTCTGCATGGTTTGAGGCAAGGCATGCAGTTAGCACCATGCTAACTGGTGGGGTATAATCTTTCATTATTTGCTAGCTATTAGCCTTGTAGCTCCAGAGCTAAAACTAAAGAACCAGACTTTCTTGGCTGATCGGCTACACGTTAGTTAAGGAAGGAAACTGGGGTTCAGTCTGCGAACTATGGCTTTAAACAGGGTCCAAAGGGTAACACTGGTGCGTAACATTCCCTCCAGTCGTAAAACCGTTTCTCTTTCCAGTTTCACGCCGTTTTCTCTCTTCGGCTCAGATTTTAGTCTCGGGTCCTTTGGCTGACAGCACAGGAAATGAGGCGCGTATCCGAGCGACCTCTGCCGCACACAGGTGACCAAAGACTTTGTTATACCAGTCAGGAGAGCGCCCCCTACAGGACACAAACAAAACGACAATATAAGACGTTTTAACATGTGACTAGGAAAAAGTTAAATATAAACATATGCAAGTCTTAACTCCAAACAGTTGGGACACATGTGAAACGCCATGACAAACGCTGGATTTTAAACTTTACACTGGTAACAATCCGGATGGCCCTTTTCTTCTTTGGCCAGAAGAACACATACATTGTCATAAACAATCTGAAAGGCTGGCCACAATACATGTTTCCACTGTGTATCAGTCCATTTTAGATGAGCATAAGCCCAGAGAAGTCGGTGGCATTTCTGAACGTTCTTGATATATAACTTCCACTGTGCATAGTACAGCCTTAACCTGCATTTGTGGGTGTAGCGACAGATGGTGTTCATTGATAACTGTTTGTTAACTACATGTTCCCTCAAAATCACAGCACATCACAGGACCACAAATAAACAGCAATTGTGCAATAAAATGTGTTCTCTGTAGAGAACGTGGCAACTTATTTTCACTCAGAAAAGACAATTGACCAGGGGTGCTCAAATGTTTGCATATGGCTGTAAGAACAGCAGTCAGTGGCCAGAACGTGTTATGAACACGTACATTAAAAATGATGGTTCTTTAAGGGTTCCTTAGTAAAGAAAATGGTTCTATATAGAACCATGAACACGCAAAGAACTCTTAGCATGATTAAAGGGTTCTTTGCATCTTTAAATGGTTCTTCAGATTGATGGAGAATGTGCTCTAGATGGTGCTATATAGAATCTTTTTGGAAAGGATTCTATATAGCACCAAAAACGGGTTCTTCTATTGTTATGATGTCAAACCTGCAACAACAGAAGAAGCCCTTTTCTTCTTTGGCCTGAAGAACACATACATTATCATAAACAGTCTGAAAGGTTGACTTGTCAGACAACAATACATGTTTCTACTCTGAATCAGTCCATTTCAGCTGAGTTGAGCCCAGAGAAGGCGGCGGTGTTTCTGGTCATTGTTATATGACTTCTGCTGTGCATAGTACAGCCTTAACCTGCATTTGTGGCGATGGACGGTGTTTATTAACAACGGTTTGTTAGAGTACTCTTGGGCCCATGTGATGATGTCCATCACAGAAACATACCGGTTTTTAATGCAATGCCCTCTGAGGGGTTGAAGGTCACGAGCCTTTAGTTGTAGTTTTAGGCCTTTGTCTTTCACGCACAGATATTTCTCTGGATTCCCTGAATCTTTTGACGTTATTATGCACCGTAGAGGGTGAAATGCCTAAAATCCTTGCAATCGCTGGTTGAGAAACTGTTGTTCTTATAATTATTTAATTATTCACTGCCACATTTTTGGCGAGCCTCAACTCATCCTTGCTCATAAAGGACTCTGCCTTTCCTTAAAGCGCCTTTTACTGCTTTTCACTTCTTGTCCCCCAAATTTTCAAGAACTGAGGTTTGTATATAAAGAAACGTCCATCCTGCATTCGAGTGTGTGTGTTACCGTAAGTCCGCTCTGCAGTAGTGTGTTAGACGGCTCCGCCCCATTCCACACGGTTCAATCAGAATGCGTGATGTCAGAAGCACCGCCCTTAGTCCCGCCTCCAACGGCACGTTGTCATGGTCGACAGAAGAGGACACGAGTATACACACACCCCGCAGCGCATCAGTGCACCAACGCCTGATAAACACACACACAAAAAAACATGTAGACTCATAAAAATAATGGTTCTTTAAGGGTTCTTTATAGAACCACAAAAACTGTATGATTAAAGAGTTCTTTGCATCATAAAATGGTTATTCAGACTGATGAAGAATGTGCTCTAGATGGTTCTATATAGAACCTTTTAGAAAAGCATTCTAAATAGCACAAAAAAGGGTTCTTCTATTGTTACAATGTCAAGCCCATAACAGAAGAACCTTTTTTAGTGCTATATAGAACCTTTCTGAAAAGGGTTCTATAAGCACCAAAAAGGGTTCTTCTATTGTTACAATGTCAAGCCCATAAAAACAGAAGGCCCTTTTTTAGTGCTATATAGAACCTTCTCGAAAAGGGTTCTATACAGCAGCAAAAAGGGGTTCTTCTATTGTCATGATGTCAAGCCCATAACAGAAGAACCTTTTTTAGTGCTATATAGAACCTTTCTGAAAAGGATTCTATGTGCACCAAAAAGGGGTTCTTCTATTGTTACAATGTCAAGCCCATAAAAACAGAAGAACCTTTTTTAGTGCTATATAGAACCTTCTCGAAAAGGGCTCTATATAGCACCAAAAAGGGGTTCTTCTATTGTTATGATGTCAAGTCTGTAACCAAAGAAGAACCCTTTTTGGTGCAATATAGAACATTTCTGAAAAGGGTTCTATAAGCACCAAAAAGGGGTTCTTCTATTGTTATGATGTCAAGCCTTTAACAACAGAAGAACCCTTTTTGGTGCAATATTGAACCTTTTTAAAACGTTTTAATCAAGCAAAGGGTCCTTTATGTTGTTGTGGTTCTATATAAAACCATTTTCTTTACAAAAGAACCCTTGAAGAACCATCTTTTTTAAGTGTGTGGGTTAGAATAAGAACACAGTTAAAAGAACACAGAAAGCTCCACACTAAACAATCACAGTGGATTTTTTCACAAAGACGGTTTTAACACATTTTTTTTACTGCCCAAATAATCGGCTCCACATATTTCCTCAAACGCCAGAGGCTTTTGTTTTCTGTACAATAGGCACAAATTTAATAAGGTTCCTCAGTGCAGCCTCATCACAGCGCAAATGAAGCGTCCGCCAGCACACCTGCTGCAGCTGTTTCCCTAAGAATCAAAGGAAATCCTCAATTATTGAGACTGGATGCTCTTTTGATGTGTGTATGGATGAAGAATGCTGAAGAACCGGCTGCTGTTAATTAATACATGACAATATGAAGTTTATGCAGATCACTGTCCTAAATCTTCAGCAGCCTGGTTACTCCATAAAAAAAAGATGGTTCTTCAAGGGTTCTTTAGTATAGACAGTGGTTCCATATGGAACCTTGAACACTCAAAGAACCATTTGCATGCTTAAGTGGTTCTTTGCATGGTGAAATGGTTCTTTAAGTTGATGGAGAACATGTTCTATATGGTTCTTTATCTGGCTGCATGCTTAAAAAAGATGATTCTTCAAGGGTTCTTCAGTAAAGACAGCGGTTCTATTTGTAACCATGAAAACTCAGAACTGTTTGCATACTTTAAATGGTTCTTTGCATGGTGAAATGGATCTTTAAGTTGAAGGAGAATGTGTTCTATATGGTTCTTTATCTGATTACATGCTTAAAAAAACATGGTTCTTCAAGGGTTCCTTAGTAAAGAATCCTTTTTGGTGGAACCATATAGAACACATTCTCCATCAATCTGAAGAACCAATTCACCATGCAAATAACTATTTAAGCAAGCAAATGATCCCTTGAGCACTCATGGTTCCATATAGAACCACTATCTTTACTAAAGAACCCCTGAGGAACCTTTTTTTAAGACTGAAGCAAATGCATTTCCACATATGAGCAACGCACAGTACTATACAAAAGTCAGATCCCCCTTTTTATTGACTTCCAGTGATTAATTTAATAAATGCTGTCAGAAAATACAACCAGCTTCTAAGACTGAACTTTGGAGGTGTGTCTGCAGACTTTTTTGAGAAACTGAAAGTGAGTTTTACATGCCCTCAATAATCCAATCAATCAGATTTCTGCAGTTATCTGATTATTCAAAGGTCATGTAAACAGCACACTCTGATTTCTTAGATCAGATTGAGGTCTAGAAATCAGATTAAGAAATCTGATAAACAGGCTGGATTTTAGCTCAGTAATCAGATTTCTCAGTGCATGTAAACTCTTACTCTGATTTCTTTCAGGTTTCTCAGTCTGAGCATGTGTGAAAACAGACGGCGGTACCAGAAATAAGCGAGCAGCGTCGCCACAAGACGCAGAGAAACACTTCTAGAGCGACACTGACACCGACTACATGCTTGACGAAGTGAAGGATTTAAATATTCTTCATCTTCTAGATGATTTATGTTCATATTTTCAGGTAAAGTAACTCGATGTTTAAGAAAAATCAGTTTGAGTTTACATTACGTTTATGTCACATCTTCTTCTGTTTATTGGCTGGTTGTAAAGCAGAAATCTGATTACTGTCTGACTCTGACTCTGTAGACCTGGAGTTGCCCCATTATCTGATTACTCAAGTGCATGTAAACGTGTTGATCTGATTTCTGACAAAATCGGACTTTCTGCAGTTATGGGATTATTAAGTGCATGTAAACGCACTCACTCGAACATCTGATATTAGGTTTAACGCCCGGCTGTACAGTACGTCTATTCTGATCTGTGGCGATTAAGGTGCTGTAAGCCTGTTCGTACCTCAGCACTACGAAGTCTCTGCGAGGGTGCGGCGCCATGCTGTCGGTGATGTAGTGAAACACTTCAGTGTTGTTCTCCAGGCTCTCGATCACGCGACTGTGCAGTAAATCCTCGTCCCACAGGTGGCGCTCTCGCAGCACACGCTGCAGCACCACCGGGGGCGGAGCCTCCATTTCTGCCGAAACACGCCACAGACGAATCGGGTGGCCGTCCCCCACCTGCAAAACAGCCAATCACAACACGATCAGGGAGAAAAAGAAAAGAAAACGTTTGTTGAACATCTGCTTTACACACTCATCGCTATTCAGCCCAGCCCTCCCATCGTAAAGTCACAAATACATCACGTTTTTTCACATGGGAAGATTTTCAAATGTGATCATGCTTTTCATATTTTTCAACATGTGATCACACCTTTACACAAGATCACATTTTTTTTCCATGTGATCCTGTTTTTCACATGATGTTTCTCATGTGAATGTGCATTTTCACGTGATTACACATTCTCACATGATCGCACGTTTTCACACGTAATGAGATGTTTTCTCACATAATGACACGTTTTCACATGTAATGAAATGTTTTCTCATGTGATCACGTTTTCACATTATGGGACGTTTTCTCACGTAATCACGCGTTTTCACACGTAATGAGATGTTTTCTCACGTGATGGCCATTTTCACACGTAATGAGACGTTTTCTCATATGATCGCACGTTTTCACGCGTAATGCAATGTTTTCTTGCGGCATCACACGTTTTCACATGTAATTAGAGGTTTTATCACATAATCGCACGTTTTCACATGTAATGAGACGTCTTCTCACTTGATCACACGTTTTCATGTTGAGACGTTTCCTCATGTAATCACAAGTGTTCACATGTAGTGAGACGTTTTCTCATGGCATCACGTTTTCACTTGTAATGAGATGTTTTATCACATGATCGCACATTTTCACAGGTAATGAGACGTTTTCTCATGTTATGTCACATTTACATCACATTTTTTCATCTGATAACACCTTTCTACCTGCGAACACATTTTTAAATGCAATCACGCATTTACAGACGTGATTACACATTTCCCCATCTGTGATCATGTTTTTTATGTAATCAAATATAATAATATAAAATATAAAGTAATATCATATAAAATAAAATAACACAAACAAAAAGTAATATTAAAATAATATCTGAATGGAAACATTTTGCTCCATGTGTGTTTAATGTTAATGTTAAATTATGTATTATTTAAATAACTTCATCTAAATAAATAAACAAATAAACAAATAAATAAAAAAACAAATAAATAAAATGTGTGTTTACGCTTTTGAAAGCAGAATAAATAAACCGGACAGCTGAACGCTGCATTTTTCTGTGTTGGACCAAATTCGACCTCGTAGAAGTTCAACCTCTAATAAAAGCGACAGCAGGTGAGCAGAAATCAAAGAACAGGTTTTAAAAGCTGGACAGTCTTTGGTGTGAAACGCACTGACAGCTCTAAACAAAAACAAAAACCCCGTTTCAGCTGACGGCTGATGTCAGAAACGGATCGACAGCGAGAGAGAAAATTAGCACTCTGTCTGATTTCATCACCAAACAACAAACCAAAACACCCAAAGCAGTAAACAAAAAAGTAAAGATTGTAGGCAGAGCAGAAAGTTCTCTCAAAGCCTCAAACGTATGAATAAACAAACAAACATACAAACAAACTCTCAGTTGTTTATGTTACTCATAATAACGCAGCTCTGCTGTTCACCTGCGTGCGTCGTGCTGCTGTTGGCAGCGTTTCCGTCTGTTGTTTTTAAACTTTGGCTGATGGAGTGAATCTATTAGGACTATCAGGGGACGCGCTGGGCTCCGACTCAAAGGAACCGAACTCGTTTATTTTCAGTTTTTCAGTCAAATCTAAAACCTGCTGTTTCTGAGAGGACAAGCAGAAAACTGGCAGCACTGGCAAAGCGTGGTGAGAAGGAACAGCATGAAGGTTAAACTCTGGAACAGAATAAACAGAACCAATATCTCAGCGCTTTAGTGTTCTTTCACTAAAGAACTAAGACTGGAAGATGAATCGAAATTTTCAAATCCCAAGAGCTGCGATTGTTTATAGCGTACATTATCGAAAGTGTTGCCTAAAGTTAAAAGAGGGGAAATTTAACTTTATAACTCAGAGCTTGTGAACTGCACAGTTAGACCAATCAGAGGCAACCAAACCTCCATGTGTTGTGACATCACAACTACAGCTTACTGGCAGTCAGGCACACTACACTCAGGGGTTGAGCCTCAAGCCTAAAAAGGTTGATATTCTGGTCTTCTTGGGCAAAAAAAAACAGGCCTGAATCTCAATCTATAGAAAATAATCGCAGTTTAAATCGCAGTAATAATATTAGTCAGAAAAATCGCAATTAGATATTTTCCCCAAATTTTTATCAGCTCTACTTCCTATGCACTCTGAATTACATTCGCTTCCAGAAACAGAGGAAGGTTTAAAGTGGGGGTGCTGAAATTTTAATCAGTAAATATGTGATGCGAACGGTGACATCATATAAAATGATTTGCTTTTTTTTCCATTCAAATTTCTTTTTATACTTTAAATCAAGCAGAGCGCATCATGATGTGGCGAGAGACGACAAAATACCCTCACAGCTGATGCACTGAACTGCTGACTCATGCCCTGACTTCTCTGCTCTCTCCTTCTGGACGAGCTTCATGCAAATGAGTTGAGTGACGGTCAGTCAGATTGTTGATGCATGGTGCAGGTTAAGGTACAAAGAGGGAAAGCGTGCACAGAGCTTTAGGGCTCAGAACTGGCCCACAGCTCAGCACACGCTTTCCCTCTTTGTACCTTAACCTGCGTGTGTTTTAGTGGCACCCCCAAAGGAGCCAGCAGGGGGGTGAGCGAGGTGATTCAGCTCACTTTAAGGAAAATACACCATTAAACAGTGCAGCTACTGCAGGTTTTAAAATGTATGAATAAAATAAAAAAATACGAGCTCCACTCTAAAGCAAGCACGTATCGGTCTTTACTACATTCAAATTTTTGTTTCAGATCTGTTTTTATTATTATTATTAGCAGCTGCAGCTAACCAACCCTGAAACCAGGGGGTGCTGCACCCTCAGCACCCCCACTTCTTGTGTCCCAATGTGCCCCGAAGTCTGAAAATCAGCGTGGAACATTAAAATCCACCTGGGATACTATAGCAATGTCCTAGCAATACCTTAGCACCCACCGGGGATTCAACAGCAATGGCCTAGCAACATCTTAGCAACCACCTGGGATTCCACAGCAATGTCCAAGCAACACCTTAGCAACTGGCAGGCACACCATAGCATGGCCAAACAACACCTTAGCAACCATCTGGGATACCACAGCAATAGCCTAGCAACACCTTACCAACCACCTGGTATACTATAGTACTGGCCTAACAATACCTTAGCAACCATCTGTGATTTCATACCAACAGCCTTGCAATACCAAAGGAAACACCTGGGATTCCCACAGCCTTGCAACACCTTAGCAACAACCTGTAATACTACAGCAGCTGCCTAGCAACACCTTCGTCACTGAGCCAACTTGGATACCATAGCAATGCCCTAGCAACATCTTAGCAGCCATCTGGGATACTGTAGTAATGCCATTGCAACACCTTCATAACTGCCTGGCACACCACAGCACGGCCAAACAACACCTTAGCAACCATCTGGGATACCACAGCAATAGCCTAGCAACACCTTAGCAACCACCTGGGATACTATAGCAATGCCCTAGCAACATCATAGGAACCACCTGGGATTCCACAGCAATGGCCCAGCAACAGCTTAGCAACCATCTGGGATTCCACAGCAATAGCCCAGCAACATCTTAGCAACCACCTGGGATTCCACGGCAATAGCCTAGCAACACCTTAGCAACCACCTGTGATTTCATATCACCAGCCTAGCAATACTTAGCAACCACCTGGAATTCCACAGCAGTGGCCCAGCAACACCTTAGCAACTGCCTGGCACACCATAGCACAGACCAGCAACATCTAAGCAACCATCTGGGATACCATAGCATGGCCCAGCAACACCTTAGCAACCACCTGGGATTCCACAGCAATGCTCTTGCAATACCTTAGCAACCACCTTGACTTCCATAGCAGTGGCCCAGCAACACCTCAGGACCAATCTGAGACTTCATTGCAATGACTTTGTCAAGCAACACAGTATGTTCATAAACTTTCCCCTTCTAGCTGCCAGTAATCAAAGTTAACATTTGTTCTGCAAAGAAACGTGGTTCTTTAACAGTGGGCTACGGTTACCAAGCAACAAAGATTATTCCATGAACAGCATAATGGGTTTCAGTAACTTGGCTCAGCCAATCAGATTTAAGAACTCCTTATTTTTTTTCTTAAAAACTGAGTTTATTTAGGTGCATCTGAATGGACATGTGGTTTATGACACGCGTCTGATTGCGTGGCTGCATTTTAACGAGCATGCAATGCTTTTCTGAACCAAATCTCTAAAACCTCTCTGAGCTCTCGCTGTTACTCATCACACACACACTAAAGCCCCCGACTGTGCCTCATTACACAAACTTAAAACAGTAAAACGTTAATCCTCCAACATGAGGCCACAAAGAGTTCGCTCGGCTGCTTCAGTCTGTGGGATCACAATGCCCAAATGAAGGCGCACCCACCCACCAGCTTGTCTGAACCCGTGTTTCTGCTTAGCGGACCACAAATATCAGGCTTCTTCTGCAGGCATACTGTGACGACAACAGACCTTTCAGAGCGGGACATGGACGCTAGGGGTGTAACGGTATGTACATTCGTCCCAAACCATCACAGTACAGACATCACGGTTTAGTGCATGCAGTTGTACAGAGGATGTGTGACTGTAATGCGAAACCAAAGTTCACAAGAACAAGTTTCACCTGGAAACCCTAAGCTGTAAGCCGTTAGCAAGTTGCCATGCTAAGACGGTGTGTCTCGTTTAACTGCTTAGAATCCCAGGAGTATTACATACTAAGGCTTAAGGCCTCAGCATACTTCCTGCGAAACGAGCTCGCATACATTCTGCGGTTTGGTCTAGCCTGTCGCAGACTAATGCAGGCGCTAGAGCATTGGTATAGTATCCCAGGTGATCGCTAAGGTGTTGCTAGGGCATTGCTATAGTATCCCGGGTGGTTGCTAAGGTGCTAATGCAGGTGATGCTATGACATTTTATGACTACTGGAAA